CTCCCCGATGGAGCAACCCCTGGCTCGAATCAACCACTTGGTTTGCATGCATTGCTGTATATCATTAAATGTTTAGGCCTAATAAGAGAACAAATAAGAAAAATCACGAATATTCCGTGAATAATGGCTAGAAAACTCGTCTTAGGTCTTGGTTTTTTATCTTTATTCTTTTCGGCTGAAAATAGATCAGCAGATTCCACAGTAAAAGAGATAAAAATAACGGGAAGGATTAAAAAAAACATCCACATACCGGTGGGTCGATAAAAACATGGAAAAATAAGAAAGATAAATAAGAGTTAAATAACTCTATAATTTTACGGCAAGACTTCATTTCTTTCCTAAAGGACTTAATGTTTATACACTTTTTATGCAATCATCAATAGAATTACAAATCGCAGGACCATATACATTAATAGAAAAAAAAGTATTTATAGATATGTAAATGCTAAAATAATGAATTGTGAAGTGGATTAGATAACACGGGTAGTTATATGATCATGGCCTGGACTTTTTTTTCAGATTCAGAAGCGGGTAAAATTAAGAACGAATTTTCAGCTTACGAGGCATAAATGAAAGAGAATGTATTGAAGCGAAAAGGGCTGCTGAGGCACTTGTGAAAGTGTTGTCTAGGGGCCCCACGTTCACTGACAAGGGGCTCAGTTTAGGCCTCTCCTGTCTATTAAACAAAACCACGACTCTTTATCACCCAGCAGCGAATGGGCTCGTAGAAAGGTACAATGGTATATGAAGCAGATGTTGAAAAGAATGTGTCAGGAGAGATCTGTTGATAGGGATAGATATCTAGAGCCATTGTTATTTGCTATAATGGATGCATCTCAGGAAAGTTTGGGATTTTCGCCGTTCGAGTTCTTGTATGGACAGATAGTGAAGGGTCCAGTAGCTATTCTAAGAGAACTTGTGACAAAATGAATGTCCAGTAGGTGAAACAAAATCTACACCAGTACGTACAGATTTTAGACATAGACTCTATAGAAGACATATGTGAAGCAGCTCATGCTGAGTTAAATAAATCAGCAGCGGATACAAGAAGTTTTTACAACGCGAAGGCAAAAGGTTAAGAGAGTTCGAAATTTAATTTAATTTCATTTTCATTTAAATTTAAGATAAAAGGAAATAATAAAACATTCTACATAAATTTTCTGAGAAATAATACGGTATGAAAGGGAGAAAATGTTTAGAGAATCAACACCAGTAGGCCTGTTCAGCGGAGCATAATGTACATAATTCTGAAGTTATTATGTCGAATTCTTCATTGTTACAGCAATTTATATAGGAAAAAGGGAATTCGTCAAAGATGTGAATATTGGAGAAAACTTGACAGATACAGAAAGATGATGTAAAGCACATACTCGTTGAGTTTGAAAATATCCTAACTGACGTACCTGGACGCACAAATTTAGATGTGCATAATATTGAGTTGACCGTTATAAAAAGTTACCCAAAGGTAAGCCCTATCCAATTCATTATAAGAGACTGTCAAAAAAGAGTTTACATCTGTGTTAGAGAGGGATGTAATTGAAGAATCAATAGTTCTTTTGCACCTCCAATGGTTCTGGCTAGAATCAAACAGGTTTTGTGTTGACCTTCGAACACTAAACAAAGTAACGGTCTTTGATGCAGAACCAATTCCAATTTTTTTTTCCCCTTTTTTTTCCCCTTTTTTTCCCTTTTTTTTTTCTTTTTTTTTTTTTTCTTTTTTTTTTTTTTCCTTTTTTTTCCCCCTTTTTTTTTCCTGATATTTTTTTACCAATTCCTGATATAGAGGATTTTTTTTAAGTCTCTAAAGCTAATAGCTTTTAATTGACCTCACAAAGGTATTTTGGCAAATACTGATGGATGAACATTCGAAACAGTTAACAGTATTTATAACGACCGATGGACTCTTTCAGTTCAAAATAATGCATGTTTCAGTTCAATAAAAATTGAAGATGGAACTCTAGAGCGATATTAATTAAGTATTGTGCATGCATATTAATTACCGGTACGTACATGCAAATTAAAAGGGAAACATGTCATAATGTTGGTCCCTGGGAGATAAGGGCGTGCATTTTGTCCAGGTCTCGATAGAGTTAGACGTCTCTAGAGGCTTAAGATAAGAGCCTAAGATAAGTCGAGTTGGACAAAGGTCCATGAAGACCGGCTACCGTTGAATATAGAAAGATATGTACAATATAAGGTGACAATTAGCAGCATTAAGTTAATTATTTATATTTCATTGTATTAAAGCAGGCCTAATGACGTGTACTGTACAGGGTTAAAATAGTAATCTTACCTCATGCAATGACGTTCCAAGGAAACTCTTAGAATTGTTGACAGACCTAAGCAAATATTGAATATATATATATATATATATATA